GCCGTGCCTGTCGCTGCTCCCCTGGGACCGTTTCTCGGCCTGGCTGCACTGCGTGTGTGTGGTGGGCTTCGACCTGGAGCTGGGCCAGGCCGTGGAGGTGCGTGAGGCGGCGGGACGGCGGGGGCCGCCTGCCTTGGGCCGGGCGCGGGGCGCCGCGGAGGCCCCCGGGGGGCTTGCGGGCAGCGTTCCCTGCGGGGGCGGGCGGCTCTGCGGCAGGGCCCCGCCGGAATCGGGCGCTTCCTCTGGTGCCGGTGTTGCAGGGCGGCGGGGGAAGCTCGGCGGTGTTTTGAGGGAAATGTGATTGTGCAAAAAGCCCGAAAGGCGGCTGGAGCCGGGGGGGGAGCGTCGTGTTCCTGCGGGGTCTGACATAGCGGGGAGAAAACGGGGTGGGAAAGCCTTTGCCAGCGACAGCTGTCACGGAGCGTGAGGTGAGTTTAATTGCTTTCAGGCGACCGTTTTCATTAAGCTGGTTGTCACGTCAGTGTACCATTTTGAAGGGTTTTCATCTCGTGCCAAGGTTTGTATTAAGTACATCACCAGCTTTCTTTATATACCAACAACGCTAATTTCTGTGACATCTAGATGTTAAAGATTTTAGAAGAGTATAATAGTAGTGTGTATGCAAGTAGTCTTCATAATTAACAGTCTTCTCCAGATCGCTGAGGTATGTAAATAAATTATCTAAATGTTTGAAGTGTTTTCCTTGCACCGTTAAATTAATGTCAAACTGTGACGATGCGTTAGTGACGCCACCACAAGCTGCAGGTTTCTTTAACTCCCTGCTGCTCTTTGCCATTTTGTGCAACAGGCAAACACGTATGAAATTGTATGGTGGAACTGCACTAGGGAACTGATAGGGCTGAAAAATAAACCAGAAAGAATCATTACAGTTTGGATTAGTTTCATGTCCTGTTTCACCATATTCACCGTATGACTGTGCAGCAAACGGTGTGTGGGGAAAAATGTCTTTCCCTTTACATTTTTTGGTTGTTGTTAAAGTGGTGTTAGCATAAATGTATGGCAGACTGGCCTAAAATTCATCTAAACTAACTATTACGATATTTAAAATATATAATTGGTATGCATTGTTGGCTGCAAGAGAAATGTGAATAAGAAACCAGATACTGTACTAATTATGTAAGTTGTTGTTTAGTAACAAAGACAAAAACTTCTATATAACCTGTGACTTAAGCAGATAATGTGTTGGGTGGCTGAGGGAAGCACAGAGTAGCCTCTTCTGTCTGCAAACAACCCTGGTAACAGTCCTATTAATTTTAGTTGAATGGACGCATAAAATGAAGCTTAAAATGCCTGCATAGCTAAGGCCTGAGTTTTTTTCTGTTATGTTGCTGCAGGAAGAATTAATTTACTTTTACTTTCAATTGGGTTCCTTATCAATTAGGTTACTTAACAGTATAGAATATTAAAAGACACGGAAATGCAAAGCAAGCATTTCTGTTGTTGCACGCCCACACAAAAGATGTTTCATTTCTTTCTTGGAAACTACTTAGACAGAAAGAATTCTGAAACAAAGTTCCTATGGCTGCGTTTGAGGGGAAAAGTTCCCAAGTAGTTACCAAAGTTTTATTTCCTCCAGGAACCACAATTTTCAAGTTAATTTTCTTTCACCCACGAGTTAGACTTTTTTGTTTTGTTTCCTGTCTGGTGAGTTAGATTATTATTTCTGAGGGGAAATAAAATATACGTAAAGAACATTTAGATTACAGAGGCAAACATTTGGAAAGTAGGAAGTGATGGTTTCCACTAATTCTGCTTCTTTGTGTCTCCCTTGCAGTCTTTTGATAGGTAGCTTCATCTTCAGCACCTTCTGGTGCTGAGCAGCACGTGTAGCAGTAGCTCACGGGAATGATGTTGATGCTCCTTTCAATTTGGATTTCCTTAGTAAGGTTGTTTACAACATTGTGAAATCTGGTGAAACTTCACCAGGGCTGTGCTTACTTTCATTATCACTGCATCGTTCTGACATGGTCAGAAAGGCTGGGCAGATGTGACAGCATAGAGGTAACAGTTACAACTGGTTTTACTCCTCTTCCTTTGATTTCTGGGAAGATACACCAGGTAGTGAGGAAAAGGGGTATGAATTCAAGTCTGGTCTGTACTCCAGTCATCTGCGAGGTGCAAATAATTCCAGCATCGTTCAACTCCTGAAGAAGTTACATTTAAGTGTATTGCTTAGCATAAGATACCACAGAAAAATGTTAAGAGGTTAAAAAACCTGATGATGGTAATGCAGTATGCAGGTGTTCCAAGCATATGTCTAATTTTATACTAAGATGTATTATGTATGCCTGGACATCATTGGATAGAGGACTGAGGGAGAAAAAACTTATCTTGAGACTTCATGGCCAGGGAAAGCCTGCTTAGTCAGAGACCAGCCAGTGGATGTATTTGCTGTTTTCTATACAGTAGGATAGTATTCTATTGTCAGGAGATATGTTTACTTACATTTTGTTGAACAAGATTAAATTAGATAACGATGTTAGCAGTATAGTAATATGAGGACTCCAAACTAAGTTAGTGTTCTTGCATTGGACTTCTGTTCTTAGAGAAGTTCCCATCTATGAAAGCGTTGAAACCTTTCTTGAAACATAATCTTTGAATTTACGTTGTATTTCCTCTGCTTATAAGCTAGCAATCCATTTCAGTAGTTTTGAGGGGTTTTTTGAGGAACTTTTTAGCTGAAATTTAGGTATCTCAGGTTTGTTCTCTTTCCTATATGTTCTTTTCTCGCTTGCACAATCACTGATTTTGTACATCTGTTTTTTTTTTTAATGGTGGTGCTTCCATATCTTACGTTGTGTTGCATCATTTTTGCCCAGCTCTCATTTCGGGCCGATGTTCATCCTCCAAGAGATAGTATTAACACAGGGGGTGTTTTGTGATTTAATTTTAATTATTCTCACCTAACTATCAGTTGCAACAGATTTCAGATAATAATGTATTGTTGGCTTTCTATGGGATCACCTACTGTATTTCATATGTACTAGTTAAATTGAAAGGGTGTAATCTTGCTCTCCTTTGAGACCTGTTGCACCAAAAGCCTCAAGTATTTTTCAATGTACTTGTATGGTTTCCAACTGGCACCCAAAATACCTTGTAAAGATGGGTGATCAAGTTAGCTTAAAAGCATAAAAAATAAGAACAGAGACATAATATTAATAGCTTACCATTGAAAATAGCCTGACGCTGGGCAGGTACTTGAGGTTTGTATCATAAAAATATGTAATAGAAGCTTACTGCTTATACCCAGTTTATTTGCAAATAAAATAATACTTTTTTCTTGTAGGTAATATATCCTCCACATTCAAAACTCACAGATAAAGAGGTAAGACATGATTGCTGTATAAGTATATAATTTGGTTTTAGTTTAGTAGTATCAGGAAATATAATGGCTCTCTTCTTTTCTCCACCCTTTAGAAAACCAATATTTGCTATTTGTCATTTCCAGATTCTAATTCAGGTAAGTGCTGTCTTCACTCTGTAGTTGTCTGTTGTTGGACTAAGCTATGTTAAAAGAAGGAGGAATTTAACAGTAAAAATTAATGGGTTTAGATTAAATAGATTATATGAATATCTTAATTAATATTACAAGATGGAAGAGTTGCACATAAGGTTAAATATAAAACTGTAATTGTCTATACTGCAGTAAGGTTGAAGAACTTTTTTTTTAATGTAAATGAAACATTGAGAATGTGAATGTATAAGACATTCCAGATGACAAACATGGAGATGTTTCAGAATAGCTTGCAAGTAAAGAATGAACGTCTTAATCTCGCTTTTAAACAAAATAATAATATTGTGATTGTAGAGAAAAGCATAGGCACAGAATTTGAATGGTTTAATAAAGCAAATGGAAAAGATATGGAACCATCTTCTCATAAAGGAGTAAATGTATATTTTCTAAATTTCATAACAGTGAAACTGACTTTTAAATTCAAAAGCATTTAGAAAGAACAGTTGTGAAGCGAATATCTTATATCTTCCCTATGCTTGATGCTTCTATTGCTGCGTGTGGTCCTGCTTGCTAAATTATTCTTTAATCTAAACTTCTACTGTTCTGCTGCCAAAGAGAAATTGGAGACGTGTGGCTGATGACTTGGACCACCTGCAAAAAGATATGGCAGAGCTACAGACACTTCCTTTCACATTTGTTCCTTTACAGAAGTCAAAACCTGTAGGAACAGACTTGTCGCTATAACTGGTCTTTTGGTTGCTCTCTCTGATATGAGGTGATGGCTGATGTGTTACTTCTGATGTGTGTGTGAGCTCTCCTGCATAATTTTACAAACTGTCTTGGCTAATTTTCCCCCTTTGTCTTAATGTCAGTAAAATGAAGATATTTTCTCTGTTCATGAGTTCTGGTATGTAAGTAGAGGGAGAGCTTCAAGTTAGATTCATCATGCAGAAGCAAGTGTCTTTTGGCAGCTGGAAACTTACTTCTGTAACAGTAGCTTTAAGTTGAATAGTAGACTGGTCTTTATGACCACTTACATGAACGTTTACATTATTAAGGTGGAATTAGTGTGCTTACCACAGGTTGGCAATGCTCAGAATGTTGTCTTTCAATTGATTGTATTCATTAATAGCACTGCATTCCAAAGGTTCTTTTCTTTTACATGTTTGCTAGAATGAATAATGTCCTGACACGTTCTTAAGATTCTAGCAGCCCTCTTATCACTGTTTCCATGAACTGCACGTTCTGTTCAGCTTATCTAGCTTCTACTTGAACTAAAGTTTTTGTGAAGCTGCTTCTCTTTTAACAAGAGACAACATTTGTAATGGCAAGGACACAGCCATCACAGTATCAGTGATACAAGTTGATACTTCAGTTCTCATGTTCCACTTGGAGAAAGTTTCTTTGATAACTGGTGCACATAGTCAATATACTTAGTTACATTTTTCTTTCAGAAAATAATTTTGGTAGAAATGAAGGGAAACTTCACTCCTTGGGGGTATTGCTGGGACATAATACAGTTTCACTCAGTTTTCTCCAGTTAGATTTTTGACTTGCAGAAATACTGAGTCCTAGGCCTGCACGTGGAGTTGTAAGAGATCAGCATAATACACTCTCACAGTGTGACTTATGTATGAACTGTTTGGTGTCAAAAAAATGTTTAAATGCAGTCACTCAATGGAGAAGTGACTTGGATAAGATAGTCAGAACTATACAGGTAGACCAATAAAATGTGTAAAAACAGCAGGAGGACAGCCATTAGTAGAGCTGCTTAAGGACATGACAGTCTAATAAACTCACTGTGAGGCAGTGACTTTTTTTTTTCTTGTTGAAGGTGGGCTATTTATTGTTGCCACAGATGCCAAATATAAAAAACTATAAATATATAAATGGTTGCAATAGCAGGGCACAATAGCAGTGCAAGATAAGTGAACCAAAACTATTTTACCTCTTTGGCTCTAGACAAGTCCTCATGTTAAACATGGCTCAAACTCAGAGTTCTGTCTGTTTGTTGTTTATCTCTTCCCCTATGTAGGTTGTCTTGGGGACACACAGTTTTGTTTTAGATTTCGACGGTCTACTGGAAGGAAAGTCTCGTTATGTTGTTTTCTGGACCAATTGGATAGAGATCTACCAGTTTACTTAAAGGTTGGAAATAAGACAAAAGGAAATTAATTTCTTGTGGGTAATGTTGCTTTATGGGTCTTCATGCTTAAATCTAATGCTTGAAGAACAAAACTTATGAACTGTATGTCCTGAAAGATAAAGCTCAGTAAATGTTTTTTGTAGCATGTCATTATCATAATAATTAACTAATAATTTGTTCCATTAACTATTCTTTAAGTTTTCTTGCCATGGCTTTTGACCGCAAAGAATTAAATTGGTGAGCACACCTATTTTGTTACAGACTAGAAATCTTACCAGAAATCTAAAGTGCTTTATAACTTAAAATAATTAAAAAACAAGTTGTCTGTATTTGTTCCCATCCATAGTTTTTTGAAGATGGAGCAGTTATCTAAAAGCAGTAACAGCCTAAAAGTTGTTCTCAGTATGTCCTTGTGGAATATTGAGGCCTTTTAACTATGCTAGTGGGAATCTGATTCTCAAACTTAACTTAGATCTGTTTATGTGGCAAATACTTGAATTCCTGTTTATAGGAAAGATGAAGTTGATGTTTTATCTTTGAAGTGTGACAACACGCTTCCTTAATACTGTGAGAATCTTTTATAAAACTAATACATTGAAAGACTAGTTTTTGTCTTTTCAAGTCAGGGCCTTAAGATTTTTAACTGCTGAAATTTTTTAGTGCTACTTTGCAAAATTATGAGTGTTGATTTATTCCTCAGGAAATTAATTCTTTTTTTCCTTTCATGGTGTGTCAGGAGAATGTAGAGATAAAAATAGTAAAGCCAGAGAGCACAGCTATTTCCACACACTGGTGTTTTCTCTTTGAAGTACTTATTAAAAAAACATTATGCCAATAAACAGGGTAATCATTCTAGTTTATTGTATCTAATCAACTTTGGAGCTTGCAGGGAAATAAGGTTTTAAAAAGCACATTGAGTGCTTCAGAGAGAAGGGCAGTATCAGGTATTGAATTCTTTCCTTTGTTTTGCAGAAAGATCCAGCCTATTACTACGGTTATGTGTATTTCAGACAAGTTAGAGACAAATCATTAAAAAGAGGCTATTTCCAGAAGGTAATTTCAAGTCTCAATTTTCAGTTCTTTTAGGAAAATGTTAATTTGGAATTTAATTAATTTTCAGTGACCTCAGAGGAGCAGGAAGAGTATCTTGCTGTCCTAACTAAATTCACTGTTGAGTGATAGTAATTTGGTTTAGTTTTATATCAGCTATGCTGTGCTCCAGCTGCATAAAATTTTCTTGTGTGTTTAAAAACAAAAAGTGGGGAGTTGTTTGTTCGCAGTTGCCTGTAGTCAAATGTGTGGTTGGCTTGCTGTGTGAGAAAAATCACACTTGACGTTCTCTGAGGTTAATCAGTAGAAAGAACTGCAGTAGAACTGAGGGAAAGGGTTAACTTAAAATTGTATTTTTGTTTTATTATTCTTTATTCCAGTCACTGGTCCTCATCAGCAAGCTACCTTATGTCCATCTCTTTCGCACCATGCTTAAGCAAATAGCACCAGAATATTTTGAAAAAAGTGAAGCTTTCCTGGAAGCAGGTAGTGGTACAATTATGTTGTTCTGGAAGAGTTCCTATAATAGCACGTACTTCTTTTGGAAACATAACAAACACTGTCACATTCGAGTTTGCGTTTCTCTCTTCTTGCAGGGCAGAGGGTTGAAACTTTAGCAAATTGACTTGATTTCTAGATCATTGAACAGAGCAAATTAATTTTGGATCCTCCGTAGGACAGTTGAAGCTCCTCCCTATGAAACACCTAGGGTTTTGTTGTGTGCTTCAGGACCAGCTTGTGGCAGTCCTCAATTTGCACTTTTCTCAAATTGAGTCCTTTTGGGCATAATGACAACTTTTGTTAAGCAACAGTACAAATGTCATCTCGTGTGTGGGAGAGGGTTGTGTGAAACATTTTAAGTTTGTTTTTTTTTTTACCAAAGGGAAAAAGCAACAAATCGGCACTGACAGCAAGTGCTTCAGACTTACTGTAGAACTTTAAGAGCCAGAGAGGGCCAAATTGAATGTTATTTGCTGTTTACATGGAAGTGCTGTGTTCTTTCTACTGTGTCTGCTCTATACAACGTTCGTGTCTTTGTGCTTTCACTGAGCAGCAATTTGTGGAAACCATTCTCAATGAAAGAATTGCATTTTTTTAATCACCTGTAGATAAACAGATTTTTTTGGCAAGTTGTATTATGAACAAAATGAGCTCTGCAGAAACTACTGGAATTAGTAATGATACTCGTAATTGTTTTCAACAAAATGCTGAAAAACTTTCTAACCAAGCTAGAAAGCTAGCTTTTTCCATAACTACTCATGATTATCTGGTCACAGTAGCTAATGTACATAAATGTCTGTGTTCTTTTAAAAGTGTCTTAATATGTACTCTACTGGTTTCTCATGTAACATTTCTTCAACTAATTGCAAGTCTAGGTGCTACAAAAAATGGAAAACAAGAGGATAGTGTTTTCTTGAAATGAAAAACTTCATAGTTCTAACGAAATAATACATTAAGGTTGTCCAAAAGGCTGTAAAGCTTTAAGAGTTTAGAGTGATCAAGGGATAAGTAGAACTGTTTGGGCTAGCAGCACTAATTTAAAATTGCAGTGTGCACAAAGGTGACTACAATATCATGGGTTATAGCATATATAAACTAGGTCTAAATTATACTTTTTTCTTTAAGTTTGTAGTGATGTTGATCGTTGGCCACCACCAGCTCCAGGGAAAATACTGCATTTGCCTATTATGGGTATTATAATGAAGGTAAATACTCCTGCACTTATTTTTCTCCGAGGATGTTTTCCCCTCCATTTACAATAGAGGTACTCACTATGTTCTGCCTTGTTTTCAGTGTCTCATACCTCAGAACAGGAATAGATGTACACTCCACTCAGAGGGAAAGTCCATGGGATCTTGATTAGGTTCCTTGGTTGGGGTGAGGAGGGGAGGGTCTTTTATGGTGCATAGGTTAACATGTGATTTTTTGTAAATAATAAAAAGCTATGTTTCAATGCAACTAGGTAATATAATTATATTGTATTATAATATAAATGATATAGACACTAAATGCAGTGTCTGTATTATCCTTCTGGAATATGCATTCTAGGAGACTTTAATGCTAGCCATAGTTAAGCTCAATCAAGCAAATTAAATATATTAATGAAAATCATTCTTGTTCCTGAAGTTTGACAAGTAAAAATCTTTTTTGGTTCACACGCCAGAAATTAATTTCTTGGTCTTTGATAATTTTCAATGAAAATGAAATACGTCTGAAGAAAGCTATTAAAGAGGTTGTATCTAATGCATGGGGATATTTTAGGACAGGATTTTTTTTAAAAGTAAAGCGGTACTAACTTAAAACCCCATAACCTTATTTCAGATCATTCTTTTCAACATTTAAACATTTTTATTGAAATTATTGTAAAAGTTATGACTAATGTTATCAATAGTCTTTTTTAACTGCAGAATAATTTTCATGTTCTAAAATTCAATTTGCAGTGTAGTACTACATAGTCTTGCATATTGATTCCTGTAGCAATGATCTATAGTCTTCAGCTATGTAGGTGTTCTGTCGAGTAAATTAAGCATCATACTGTAGTATATACTCTTTAAATGTTATGTCTTGTCAGTAAGCCAGCATTTTAAGTCTCTGCTGAATTCAATACAAGGAAAAAAATATATCTATCTTTTTCTTTCGAAGTTGCGGATTCCAACATATCGTGACAAGCCTGGGACAACACCAATAGTGCAGAATATGCACCAGGTAGAGATTAGATACTTCTATTGTGTATAACCTCAAGACAAAGGCTTCATTCTTTTACTTTAAACTCATTCATGAAAGCTTGGTAGCCAGTCCTCATATGCTTTGATAGTAATGAAATCCACAGTCTTTGAAACTTTGAGTGGAGTCTAGAGTTGTATTCTTCATAGAAAAAGTGTTCTAACCCCGTTACCACAAGTACTTTAGAAGAGAGGTGTCCAGATCCTGGAAGAGAATAGTTGGCTGACAAAATTACTGAGCTTGAACATCCTTTTAATGGGTGAAACTAGGGTAAACTAGTTTTTTATCAGGATGAAAACAGAATTTAAAATCTTTATCTGTAGAAGATGGATATAAAACAAATCTGTCTGTGCCTTCATGTGCTGCATGACTGTTGTTTAAAACAGCTTCAGTATTTATCTTTTCTGAACCAAAAGTTGCATGCCTGGAAGTGGTATGTGTGTTGGGGGGAAATCTTGCTTTTAGCACACAAAAATAGTTATGTGTGGAGATAATGTAGTACATACTGCAGTAGTGCAGTGGTAGTAAATAGTTAGGATATACAACATCTACTGTCTGTAAGCATTTAAGGGAAACTATTTCATTTAATACCTAGGTATTCTGATGACTAAAAACCAAGCATTGCGCTGTCTTTTAGGCAGATGCTCAGATCTCCATGGCTTTACCAACTGTTCATGAAGTAGATCTTTTCAGGTAGGAGTTTGGACTGATTTATTCCTAATTGTGAATTCCCACAAGGCAAAGATTTAGACTGTTCCATAACACATATCTCATAGCTTGCAGGCTAACATTTATCAGTATTGTTTTTCATATTCTTTTTCTCTAAAGCTGGCTAAAACAATTTGGACAACATGCAGGCTGAAACTGCGATAAATAAGTTCATTAGATGTTCCATTTTACAAGAACATTTTATATTTTTCAAAATGCTATTAAATGCTACTGCATACCTCCTTTTTGTCCAGTTCTTAATCAAATATATATTTATTCTGGTTATGTTAAATGTATTAAAATACCTCATTCTGTTTTTAGGTGTTTCTGTCCGGTGTTCTTTCACATTCAGATGCTTTGGGAACTAGTACTGCTAGGAGAACCACTTGTTGTGATGGCACCATCACCATCAGAATCTTCAGAAACTGTGTTGGCACTTGTTAGGTAAATGTAGTGGAGCTTCCTAACTAATGACCAAGTGAGTTATCGTAGATTGCAGCTGAGTGCAACTTCATTTAATCTGAATATAACAAAGCATTACAAATTTTAGATTTGCTTGTTTCTTTCATGAAATTTTGCACTGTGTACATATGAGCTTACCCCCTTTCTACCTTGCAGCTGTATTTCACCATTAAAATACTGCAGTGATTTCAGGCCCTACTTTACCATACATGACAGTGAATTCAAAGAATATACAACTCGCACGCAAGCCCCGTAAGTAAATCAAACTTTGTTGTCAAGTTGTTGCTCAAAGCCACTTGTAACCACAAATCTGTTTTAAGATGCTGCTTAACTATTTTGAGTTTCTATCATTAGAGAATACATTTAGACTCCTTATTTATAAGATTTCTGTTACAGACTGCAGTAGTTAGCTGGGGTTTTTTTGCTCCAGTTAGATAGCATAAAGAAGATATGAAACAATGTAATAATTAAACTATATTCAAACATCATATGATACTTATGTACAGAATAAGTAAAACTGCAAATATGAAAGCAGGAGAAAGCTTTGCTTTTCAGTAAGGGTTTGTCTATGCAACACCAGCTCTGTAGTAGCTCCTGGGAAATTGTTCTGTAATTGTCTTTATTTGTAAGCAATTACAAAACGAAGTGACGTCTAGAATTCGACATCCATACAGCTGTTTTGTAAAGTTAATCCAGGTCGGTGTCGTCATTGAGATAATACTTTAAAAAGTAAATATCTCTTCACTAAATCTGTTAGAAAAATGTTGTAAATAATTCACAAATCAAGATTGTTTTTTTAAGAGTGTGAGTTTATAAAACCAATTTAGTTTGAAACTGTCTTAAGGACTAACTTTTCCCCTTTTTAATTTTTTTTTTTTTTAAATCTTATTTTGCGAGCATACACCTCCAATATTTCCTATTATTTGTTATTTAAACGCAACTTAATTTGGGAATGGAGTGCATGAGTTGTATTCACTGATCTTTTTATAAACACATTTTTTTTCTAAAGTCTGAACAGGCAGTGGTTGTTGTGGTATTTTTATTTGTTTGTTTTGTTGGTTTTTTTACTGTATTTTTCTTCTCAAGGAAATTATTGCCAGAAATACAGCAGTGGAAAAACACACAAACCTAAGCTTTATGTTTCAGATTGTATTCCATGGGAATGGTTATGCAGTATGTAATTTAATTTCTAAAAATCATTCCATGAAGAATTTGGTTAAACTTTAGTAACCCATGTTTAAAAGTTGCATCTGCTCTTCTGTAGCAAAACAGAAAGGTTGTTTGGTACGTATGTTAGTATTTGAAATAGAGCTAGAATTGCTCTGACTTTCTTATGGAGAACAAAAACACTTGAAAGATTGGAAATAGACTTTTAAAGTAGTGGCTCCAAGAAAAGGAAAGGATCCAGATGTTTTAGATTCTGTGTATTTTATTATGTTTAGTGGGAGAGGAGCAAAGAGTGTTTTTCATCTTTGTTTTGTTTATAGTGCCTTTTCAGAAAGTACTTCAGTGTTTTAAAATCAGAATTGGTTCTGGTAAATATGATAGATTAAGGCTCCTAAAAGTGACTAAGTAACTGTTAGGTGGCTTACCAAGTCTTCCTATTATGTCACAAGTAGCAGTGAAACAAGATTCCTCATGATTTGCTACCAGTTTTCCTTGGCCTGGAGAAGTATTATTTGTGGGTGGGTAAATGAAAGCCTTGCTTGACTTTAAGCCTCAGGGTTCAGCCCTCCAGTTAGTGAAAGAATGTCAATTTGTATATATTGGTCCAAACCAAGTCTGTGTGAAACTTCCTCTTTGTTTCACTCAAAATAGGCACAGGAAGATTGTGTGTTAAGTTAAGCTAGACTTGAGCCATTCCTAGGGAGTAGCAGAGTGCTTATTGTTTGGGTTCTTTCAAGACTCAGTTTGCTTCTTATGTTGATTCTTATGACGTGACCATGAAAAGAACGTAAGATAAAAGTTCATAAATTGATTTTTCAGAGTACAACAAAGGAATCTGTTGAGACCTTTTTATGGACACTGGTCTGTATCATTGTTTTGGAAGACAGACTGTAAATCATCTCTGGTAGCACAGAAAAGTCATGAACAACATTTGCAAATCCCACTGAATTGAAATCAGTAGTGCAAATGAGGTTAACAGGATTATAGAAACACCAAAAAATAATGAAACTGAATTCAAATGAGTTGGGAAAAATACATAATATCTGGAATAAACTGAGTTTTGGTGAACATACTTGACCAGCAGTAGGACTTGGAAGATGTGATTTTTATTTTTTTTTCTGGTGAAGGTTGTGTCAGTGATAAGCAAGAGAAGACTCTAAGAAACGGATAGAATTTCATGCTGCTCATTCTAAGATGGAATGGAGAGATGAAAATTGCGATTTCCATAGCGCAGACATTATACTCAGTTATAGAGCTACGTGATCAGATTTTTGTCCTGTCTGTGAATACCTAATGAGTTTTTATTTAAATAGTTATAATTAGCAAGTGGAGGGAGGAGTGAAAGCCAGAAATGTTTGTAGCTTAACATAGAAATTGATGCCCAATTGCCACCATAATATAGGTGGAAGAATTGAATAAAAAATTAAAGAAAGATTGCTTCTTGTTTTTCTCCGTATCTTGCCTTGAGAGACAGGAAGCTTAAGGATGGTGCGCAGAAAGTATTTAAAATTTGGAATTTTTAAAACCCATCTGAAGAAATGCTGATAACCTATTCTTAATACAGCAGTTCCAATGACGCTTGCAGTTATACTCTCTCCTTAGCTAACACTTGCCTGTAAGGTGGATGGCAGACACTATTCTGAAAAATGTCTTGATATTTCATCATATTAGTGCTATAAATCCCAAATTTTGCAGCCCCATGGTGTAGCAGCGGCCTTATGCACTTACTGTCTCTTGTTCTCTGGGAGTCCTTATGCATCCTTGAAGCTGGATTCTAACCACAGACCTGTCTAGAAAAATCTGACAGGTTGTGAGCTTGGGCACAATGTTATTAATGTGCTTGTACTTCATCTGCTTTTTAACAAAGAATGCTAAGGTGTTGGAAAGAAAATAGGATATTAAGTGTCTCTCTTAATCATGTCATCTGAGCAGTAGCTCTACTGAGAGGTCTCATCCAAACAGCAGTCATGTTAACATGCACAGGAAAGTACTGAGAATTTGTTATAACCAAACCTTGAAAAGTAGCAATATGAGTCAGATTCCTGCTCATTAAAAATTAAATAAATCAGATGATACACTGTTCTCATCATTGCAAATGGGCAGAATTCAGCCAGGAGTCTAAGCAGAAGATGTCACTTTTATTCTGCGCTACTGTTTGGACTTTAAGATACATCTGTCTTGCTGTTTTCTAAATCTTGGATAACCATACTGTGCTCTTACGTGCAACTTAAAATGTAACTTGTAAATACAAAAGGAGAACAATTTCAAGTTAAGAATTAAAGTTGATCTTTTGTATTCATTAAGACAGAAGCTCTTACTGTCACATTTTAAACATTGTCATTATTTTTCTAGGCCATCTGTCATTCTAGGGGTGACAAATCCTTTTTTTGCTAAAACACTTCAGCATTGGCCTCACATTATCCGAATTGGAGATATGAAACTTCCAGGTAAAATACAAATATCTTCTACAATCCTGTGCAACAAGATATGTGTGCTTATTTATTTACAAACTGATTTAGTTCAATTAATTTAGTTTAATATTAACCAAATCTTCATGGATGTAAATATGTCAACTGAAATTAGGCTCTTGAGTTATGTATGTGATGTATTGCCCAATCTACTATATTAAATGCAGAAGGTGGCAATACTCATTAGTAATAATATTTTACCTTTCTGACAGTCCAGTTTTTGTATCATTACAGTAAGGTATTAAACTGAGAAACATCATTTGTTACTGATCTTAATTTTAGGATGATTAAAATGTAATAAATCAGTCACAGCAGATGCACAGAAAGGAAAAACCTGTGTGAAAGCTAATTTTGAATGTTGCAATAATGTAGTAAGTTGTTTGACAGTATTTTGATATATTTCTAATCTGGCAATATTCCAGTAATCTCTGATTGTTCAAGTTGGATAATTTCCTTACATGATTGAGTAGAATTTTAGTGTAATCTTGGGATAACATGTCAATTGCTAGCCTGTAATAAAATACTGCAGTACTGTAATTATTATATGGAATTCCTCAATGCAGCTGTTTGCTGTGACAGGCTCCCTATTCAGTTCTGAAAGTGGGAATGCATAAATATCCAGTTAGGATAATACACCATGAAATTCATTTTTGTAGAAGTTCCATTTGATTTCTGAATACACCAAATCAATTAAAGATTATGTACCATTTTCAATATAATTAGGTGAGGTTTTGCTTTACTTTAAAATATCATGCCTGTCCGTGCTTCAGAATACCTTTGGGGGTTTGGGGTTGTGTGGGGAGGAGTTAGGTAGCTGCTGTGTAGTTAAGGTTTGGAAAATAGAATCTTACTTACACTATTAAACCTCTGCAAAGCCATACACACAGGTTGCCTTCAAATTTGATACATAGTTTCAAGTGTGAAATTGGAAAGATTTGGTGCAGCTATGTTAACTGCTTAGTCAGGAAGTTCTAGAGATGCATCTGTCTGACCTTACTTTGAAAATTTAAATTTTATTTCTTTACGGACAAAGAGAATGCTTGTGATTTTTTTTTTTTTTTTTTTTTCCTTCACACTCTGCAGTTTCAGTAGCAGTTTATATTATTATCTTTTCTGAAGTTCAGCATCCAACTAGATTTAAGAGGAATGTTCTGCTAAGGCTGCAAGACTGTTAACAGGGTTTAGGGTCTTCTGGCTGGAGAAGGATGTATATGAAAAAGAATATTAAAAAAAAAAAATGGTTTGGCCTATCTAAAAGGAAATGTAAATTCATTTTATTACATCACTTAATCCATGGCTACTGTTTTAATTTCTTACTAAAATACAATTTTTATTTTGGCCAAGGTACTAAAGATTTGTTCCTGAAACCTTTATCCTAAAAGGGTACAAAGGAGAATGGAATAATATTTGAAATGAATGAAACAGTCACTCATTGCTATATAGTCAGTATTTTTCTTTGAGTACTTTGATTCAGAAGGTCATGCTTTTGAGTTTTTTGTTTTATTTTGTTGTTTGGGGTTTTTTTTCCTCTTTTCAACAGGGAACCCCTATATAAAGTGAAAAGCCTGTATGCCGTTATTGACATGTTTACTGGATGTTTCTGGATATGCTCAGATGCTTGTCGGTGTTTCTAATGCATCTTACAATATTAGTCTTCTAAATGAAAGTATCCATTTCTAAAAATCAGTGTGCATTGAGTGTAGTATCTGGTAACAGGGATGGAGATTGCAAATAAGGTGGCTTTAAATGTTTTGGCAGGTGAAGTTCCAAAGCAGGTGAAAGTGAAGAAACTGAAGAACCTAAAAACTTTGGACTCCAAACCTGGTAATAAGTTGCTTCAGAGTTAAACTACCAATATTTTTATTTTAAAAAACATAAAGCATTTTTCCTTTGGCTATGTGCTGATTTTTTTTTTCTTCAGGTGTTTATACCTCTTACAAGCCATACTTGAACAAAGATGAAGAAATCGTTAAACAGTTACAAAAGGTAATACTGCAAGTCTCTTCTTAATGGAAATGGTTTTGTGTACTGTCGTACAGTGTTTTGTTTTAATTCTGAGCTCTGTCTACATAACTGAAATGAAACTGGATTCTGATTCCTTTGCCCCAATTCATAACTGAATAGATAGGTGTATGCCCTCATTGCAGAGGAAGGGCTGATGCCTGGTTAGCAGTTTCTGTAACAACATGAATGGTAGAAATCAAGAAGTTAGTTCAATAATTTAGAGAACTGAAGTGATTGATCGGTTCATCTGTTTTGGATTTTCCACCCTCTGCCATCCCCCTGTAGTTTTGTTAGTCTTGAAATCTCATGCGTGAGGCGTGTAAGAATCAAAGCTTCTAAACTTTAACTTACTTGCAAAAGTGTTTTTTTTAAAAGACATTTTTCTTTCCTTGAATTTCTTCACATGAACATTAAAAAATCAGCAACTGAAGGGATGAATATCTGTGCAAAAAGACTTGACTATTGATTTCTGTTCATGGTTCAGGGTAGGGGGTGCTACGTGTAAGTTTATGGCAGATAATACAGAAACACTGGAATAAATGTTCTTTTAAAATACTTAAATATTTTTGGGTAACAGACTTATTGTGATATTTTATTTCTGTTTCTTTTAAGGGAGTACAACAGAAACGTCCTACAGAAGCACAGAGTGTGATTCTTCGACGGTATTTTTTGGAATTGACGGAAAGCTTCATTATTCCATTAGTGAGTTCTTAGACTAATGTGGTTTTTACATACGGAATATGGAGCAGCTTTTTTGGCATTACCCTGGCTGAATAAGTCCAGTAACTAGCAGTGTAGCCCTGGAGTCAACACTGGGCCCAGGACTGGGTCATTAATGATCTGGATAATGGAGCAGTGTGTAGCCTCAGCAAGTTTGGTTTGCAGACTCCTGACATACCTTTATGCTGACAAATAAGTATTTTGTTTAGGTTTCTGGATTGTGCAGATTTGGAGGCTTTGACTTGCGCTGAAATGGAAAATTGTCATCTGTTTTCTAATTTGTGCATTAAGATAATGATAAATATGTTCTAATGCGCTCTTACCTGGCATTTGAAGGTATGAAGTCCAGTAATGATGGGCTTCACCAACCCAAAAAGTTCTGTGTGAATTTAAGTCATTCCTCTGAGCAAGGGGTTAAAATTGGGAAGTGATACCTCAGGCATTGGATGTTTTCACATCAGCTGTCCCATTCTGAGCTCTCTGAACATTTTTTGTGGATGACCTGAACTTTTCGTCATTCTAGAGCATGCATGATCTGGTCCAGTTCCTGTCCAGAAGAACTGGGACATCCTTAGACACTTGTTTGTCCTTGGGTGTTAATGATTGGAGGAGTTTTTCCTTAAAATTTGTCTTTCTATCCTGTTCTTTGGAGGGAGGATGGACATGTAGGGTGAATCTAAAACCTTTCCCTGGAATTCCCCCGCATCCCTGGGGTGTCCCTGCTGACTGTGGGTAGGTCGGACTAGATGACCTTTGGAGGTCCCTTCCAGCCTGGGCAATTCTATGATTCTATGATCTTGCTCAAACTTCCACTTAAGTGAGACACTTAAAAAGTTTTCTGTCATAAATCTTAAATTTTCAGAGTGAGATCACCCATTACGTTCTCTGCCACAAGGAAAGTGTATGGGGGGAAGGCGGTTCCTTTGCTTTTTCAAAAGATAAAACTAGACTTTTCATAATGCTATCAAAGCTGGTAATATTCACAGATCAAAATGAATGGCCATTTGCATACAAACACTTTGAAAATATACAGCAGTGAATATTGATGTGCCTGTGTGAGCTGGTGAGGTTGAGCTGCCTCCTGTCATCAGACCTTAAGCTTCAGCAGTGGCCCCGCTGAGAAATGTCCCCACTGCTCCCTGTGTCAGCCAGCCAGCTGGGGCTGCAGCCGTGCCTTTGCCAAGCAGGGCTGCTGCTGAAGTGCCCGCAGCTGATACGGCGTTTTGTAGGTTAGTTCTGTATTTAATAATGGTATGAGGGACTCTGAAAATCCCTTCCAAATACTTGATAACAAAGTGGGATTACTGTGTGGAATCACTCATGATACGAAGGTACCTGTGGACTGTCAGTAAAGAAAAAAAGAGATTATTTACTAGTGGCTGGAGTTCAGGATATATATATTCCACGTATACATTTGCTTCCTGTCCTTCTTGAATCTTGCTGACATGGAGTTCTGTAGCTGGGAAATACAAATGGTATTAGATAAGCTCCTTCTTAACGTTCTCATGTGGTAAATATGTGTGACCCCACCCTGTACCAACACTGAGAAGAGAAAATGCTGTGGTCACAAGTGATAAGTAAACATACACGTGGACTGTGTATCTTTAATAATCGTTATGCAAACAACCTTTCTTTTTCCTTTCCCTAGGAACGTTATGTGGCAAGCCTAATGCCTTTGCAGAAGTGCATATCACCATGGAAGGTACAGAAATATACTTTGAATGAACTAGAAATTGGTAATTAGAGAAAACCAAGTATGCTAATGATTTTTTTTCCTTTCCATAGAGTCCACCACAGCTGAGGCAGTTTAGCCAAGATGACTTCATGAAGACACTGGAAAAAGCAGGGCCACAGCTCACATCAGGTTTAAAAGGAGACTGGATAGGACTCTACAGGTCATTACTTTCATCAGCATAAAAAATTAAATTAGGTCAATGAAAACAAATCAGTAATACAAATGCTCTTTACCTAAGCAGACTTATTATCAGTACTGATTTGAGTAATACTTACTTTTAGACTATACACTTTAATAGGAATTGGTAGTGCTTAGTTTACTTTACTCACCTAAATCTGTTTCTCCGTAACCTGTTAATGGTTTTCATAAGATGTTACTAACACTACAGGTCTCTGCATACCAGTATTATTTGTGGTTTTATTACTGGTTCTAACACGGTTTCTCCTTCTAATCAAACACACAGATAAAAATGAGGATATTTCAAACTGAGCCTTGCTTTTTTTCTTGACAAAATTCCAAATCTTTATTGTCCTTCAGACCCCTTTTCTTTACACTGTTTCTGAGTCCTTGTCTTGATTAATAGAAGCACCTCTTATACTCCACTTCAGAACATTACACTTCTTTGAAAGTAAACAGAGAAATGGTCCTAATATCTTCTTCAACCTCAAACATAATTACTTCATATTTTATGACATAGAAAACAGACTATTATTAAAATTGTAATTAAAGTATAAAATGTATTTTGTTTCTGTATTTTATCAGGCATTTTTTGAAATCACCCAACTTTGACGGTTGGTTTAGGAGCCGGCAGAAAGAAATGACACAGAAATTGGAGGCCCTTCATTTAGAAGCACTCTGTAATGAGGTTAGAAAAATGTGTGCTTATAATTATATTTATCATCTTGTAATAAAAATATATTTTCCCTCAAGTCAGTTTTATTTCTGCTCTTTTTGTTGGTTGAACATTAATATGTTGACAATTTTGTCAAGTCTAATTTAGCAAAACATGAATTTGTTAACTGAGTACAAGCTAGAACTAACATAGCAAAAGACAACAATATGAAATACAGTTCACTGTCATAATTTGCACAATATCTTTAGTCCTTTTTTTTTCCCCAAGTATTTTGAAATTGAATATCACACCCCCCAAAAAAAAAAGTTTTTCCTTATATTTGATGTTATTTCATTCAGCTTCCTTCCTTGGCATTCCAACACATTTTTACATGTGATATAGTTTGTAGCCTTGAAGGTATAAACTCAATGAGAACAATAGAAAATTCACAACTAATTAGATATGAATAGTAAATAAGCCTACCACTGATCCATAGTACTTGAAAGCTGAAAAGTGAAATCTTATTGATATATAACAAAATGCCACATAAATGATCTTATGTTGTAAGATCCGTTCTTTACATAAGAAGCTGAAGTGGCTATCAGTATAATTTAGGTCAAAACAACTGACAAAGAAAGATATCGCAAGAGGAAAAGAGATTGTGTGGCTAAAGAGGGAATAGGAAGAGTAAAAATAAAGCTCTACACCACAACTTTAAAAGAAACAAAAAAATTGTGCTGGTTATTTTTAAAAAAGCCATTGATTTTTATCCCTTGCCTCCTCAATTCCAAAACATACAACAGAGCAACCCAAATAGATTGTTCAAGTAGAGCAGCCCAAATAATTTGCAGGGAAATAGCCAGGTCAATTGTATCATCTAGAATCCACCCAACTATATTTGACATGAACTTATTGCAAACAAACGGGAATGTGTTGCAAATTTATTACTCACTCTGCTCCGTATTAGCTTTTTGTTTTGATGCAAGTGTTAACATCTTTCTATACATCAACAAGTGTCTTTAATAGGTGAACAGCAAAGGGGTAGGGGAACAGAACTTCATAAGAAAATTAACTTAATGAATGTATTTTACTAGTTATCAGCTCCTTTAATGCCCTAGAAACAAGAAGTGCTGCCTATTTTAACTATTTTAACATTTCATTGTGTTGGCAGATCTGATTTGGTAAACATTCACTGCCATTTTGCATTCTAGATGCTATTTTTGTAACTAAACCTGTTTGGCATGATTTTTTTGTATTTGTTTTTATTGTATGCATGTGAGTGTCCTCGTCTCCTGTTTTGCTAAGTCCTGGGCAAACATGCAAATAAAGCAGATTTTGCAGTTCATAGTAGAGACATACATGAGTAAAATGAGTTTAGTAATTGGCATGAGAATAAGGGAAAGAAGACGACCCATTCTGAACAGTAGGTGGGAATTAATACTATTTTTGAAAATTATATATGTTGCCATAAATATTTCAATGCTTAATTTTTACTCTTTTAGAACTTGGTTTTCTGGAGTCAGAAGCATACTGAAGTAGAAACGGTCGATCTTGTCTTAAAGTTAAAGAATAAACTGGTAAGTAACTGAATTTGCACGTGGCTCAAATTTGCCTGACTTAACTGGTTAAAAGTATTATATAGTTGTGTTTACAGGTACTTAAATGAAAATATTCTTTAAGATCTAGGTAGCTTGAGGAATCAGTCATTCAGGTTTTTAAAACAAAACCAGTTTGTTTCAGCTATGGCTGAAGAACATGGCCCAGCTGTGTTGGAAGCATTGCACTGATCTTGTCTTTTTAACACTAGTTGGAACTTTGTGACTGATCTGAGTGGGAGCAAGGCTGAACCTTCAAGGAGACAGAAAACCAAACTTTCTTGTGATTATTGAAAGTCCAAATTGGTGTTAGCTCACGCTGTTGTGTAGTTGTGGAGGAAACCTGTGATTGTCCAAATTCCTACTCAGTCGGCAAATGAGGAATTCATTTTCCAGATTCACTAATATGTCATTTTTTGTGTTTTAAAGTAAACTTGCATTTTTCATAGAAATCATGTCTTGCTGTACCTTTGCAGTTGCAGGCTGACAGAGAACAGCTTCCTGTGAAAACTGAAACACTGAAAAAGCTGCAGACACACATCAATGATATTATACTAGCACTTCCAGATGACTTACAGGACATCTTGCTCAAAACTGGCACAACATGATTTCTACTGGGCTTTTTGCTTGCAGAAAACAAAAGGCCAATGTGGTGTCACAGAAGACAGCGGCTCCAAGTTCGGAGCACAGCTCCAAAGAGTGCATTAACACTACAAATGGCCTGTACCAATAGTATAGCCCACTGTACTAGTTTCACTGTTTTTTCCACTGAAAAACCAATGCAACTAAAGGAATTCCTGTGTCTAATAACGTTTGAAATAAGTGCTCTTAAAGAAAAATCTGTGGGCGTATGAAACTATACCACAGTATAGGACCACGGTGCAGTGCTGGCATTGCAGAATGTTTTCCAATTGGTGCTGCTATACCCAATCCTGCTGACTCAGGGGTAAGCAATATTGATCCTGTACTGTCCTGTTGATGTAGTACCTGATTGCTTTGCTTTTTTTGCTTTTTTTTTTGTTTCCCTGTTAGTTTTCATCTAGTCCAACTGACGTACTATGAGACTTGGTTACAGTTGAGGTATTTTGCTGGTAACTCCTTGCTTTCAAAACTGTTCCAGGGACAGCTGAAATAATCACATCCGTTCGTAACTTTCCTCCTTTCTCCTTCTTACCATCTTTCCAAAATCATGTTAATTTAGCATCTTTAAAGAAGAGAAGGCAGCTGACAAAGATTTCTTGAACAGAAGTCTCCTCTGTTCAGTGGCAATTAATTAGGATGCTCTTACTCACATGCCTTAAATATAAAATAATTGTATACTAATTGGTGGTTTTAAACTGCTGACATCCAGGATTTAAAGTAGATCATTAGTGTAAATGTAAGCATGCGGTATTCATCACAGGAAATAAACACAGTGGTGTTCTAATACGGATTTTAAAATCAGTGAATTCAGTTAGAGTTAGCTGATATACAATCTGTTTCAGTTGGAGATCATAGCAGTCAGCTCCTGTTATAAATTTTTTTTTAATTACTTATGCTAGTTTGAGGAGGTAATGGGGCTGGAGGGGGATGATGTTGGCTTCAGCTGAAACAAGCCTATGGGAAGGTCAAACTGTGGCAAGAAAAGATTGTAGCATAAAATTATTCTCAGTATATGCATATAACAGATGTGCATAAACAGTAGTTTTCTCTTGCATATTAAGCAACAAGAATGTGATGTTTATCTTCTTGAATAAATTTCAGTGGCATATAAGAACTCAGCTGCTCCACATGCAGTGTTGTACTTTGACCAGTTTCAAGTAGAATAAACTTAACGCTATAGTGTACACACAGCATACACTTTTATATGACAAGTGGATCACAGTTATAAACAAAATTCTGCTTTTAAGTGCTTGGATAGAATTTTTAAAACTTACGACATAATCCTGCTATACGAATATGCTTTTGTATGATAAATATTTCATACCATCTTTCTAAAAAGTCTTATTTAGATATAAAGTGTCACAATGGTATTTTTATGAAAATAATGTATTTTAATACTGTTATGGTTTGTATACAATTACTCATGACCAAAAGTTTAATGTATCTATTATATTACTTAAACTACATCACTTCAGCATTAATTTGGGGGTCAGGATTTGTTTGTACATAAAGTTTGCAGGGGTGGGCAGGTGGGTGGCAGAAGGCAGGGAAGAGCTGAAGCAGAGGAGGAAATAGCATTTCTAATCCAGAAATTAATAAGTGGCCATTTTTATTCTAAATTATCTTCAATATTTAACCTGGAGCACTGTGTAGTTTCTTGGAACCATGTAAACTGGTAACAACTGTGATAACTATCACATGACTGCAAATATGTATTTTTGTAAAAGAAAATAAAGGGTTCAATTTTTATTTTTTCTTTGGAAGTTATGTGATTTAAGTGCTGGGTGTGATTCTTGGTTTGCTTTTTCCCCTCTCCTGTGTAAGCAAAGCTGTTCGGCACCTTGACTGCTCCTTAGTGTGCCTTGATGGAGCTGTACCCCTTAGGTGACCAGAAACACCTGATGTGATGAAGTGGTGGTGGTTTGATCACACGTCATGGTTCTAATATGATAGAGCTGCAGAATCCTCAAGAAAGCAAATGGCAGGGACTTTTTCCAAGCAAAATTTATCCGATCTTCAGTCTATTTCCTGTATGCATCTGAGAGGCCCTGGAGAAACATGGTGCTTATTGGGAAGTAGACGGCAAGCAAAGCTCAATTTGGGCTTCTTTAATGGAGTTGCTATTAATTTAAATCCCTGAATAACTAGATGCTTAAACAGAATTAGAATCTTGCTCAAAAGAGGCAAAAAGAAAAGTTGTACTGGGTCGTTTGCTTTCTTCATCAATGACTTGTAATGCTTTTAGTGATGGTGGTTCAAAAGGACCTGTAACTACAAGTCCAGGCAAAATGTAGTCACCAAAACAGGAACTGTCTTCTCATTGCAGGTTTCTGATGATGTCCTCTCTCTGCAGCACTTTTACACTGAGCACTCACATTTTTAGGGATGCTTCAGCTGTTCGTAGTGTTGCAGCAGAGGAATTGTTTCAGCTGCAGAAAGTAGTTGCCAGCTGGTGAACTGGAATTTTCCCACCTCTTTTTTGGTTTTGGTTTGGTTTTATCTCAATGTGCTTAAAATACAGGTGAAGAGCTTGCACAGACCCTCATTCACCTGAGGCTTGATGGCTAAAGGACAGCACCGAAACTACTAGTTTCAGTAACTTTGCTTCAGTCCTCATCTGACTTATGTAATTTTTTTTAATTTTTTTTTTAATATGTATGTGCACACACAGACTGTTTGGACCAGGATGGTAAAAAGTCCTTAAGTGAAGGAGAGAGCACCTGGGGGATTAGAAAGCGTCCTAGAAAAGAGGTAGCAATAAAGAAATGGTAAAGGACCCCAGTTGGGTGATCAGAAGCAGCTAAGAGTGCCTCAGTTAGTGTAACGGGAGAGTTAACTGGACACACATAAGGTTTGGAACTTCTCAAATTTCTTTTAAACAATGTAAAAATAATGCCAAGAACCAAAACATGAGATAAAGTGCAGTCACATATGGTCAAAGATGCAGTAGTCCTTTAACTCTGTTGCCATCCATATCTGACTAGAGAATTTATCAAAAGTCTGTTGTGAATAACAGTTATGTGTGATTATACAGAGCAACCACTTATGTTAATGTTAAAACCCTGATCATTGACAATCACTTTGTTAGATTGTACACAAACAACTGAAATAATGAAAGGTATCTGGTAATGCCAGCTTGGAGGTCCAGAAAAGTAACTTATTTCAAAAAGAGTCCTTCAGATATTTTGTAGTATGCTTATCCTCAGCTAAATTCAGGGAAGCTTAACTTTCCTGAAAAAAAAAAAAAAAAAAATGTAAATACTGAGGGTCTGAATAGAAAATAGGTAATTATTGGAAGTCTAGAAGGAGACTCCTTAAAACTACCAGGAAACCAGGATCATATTAACATCTTAGGCATTAACTAGATTAAGTTAAAATTTCTTCTTTGAAAGTTAAATTTTATAAAAATATAACTTTCAGTCTTAACTTAAAACAGATTTTTGGCTCAGAGGAACATAATTTAAAACGAGTGACTTTGACACGTAAGAAAAGAGCAGCCCGAGTTGAGTCACCCAGAGGAGCTACTGTTAGGAGCTGGTTCAGGGGTCTCTTTGTTAGAGATGTTTTTCTTAAATGGAGGGTAAGTGAATAGCTTCTGTTTGAAAAATGTTAGCTCTTGTGCACTGACACAGTTTTTAATTAGCATAGGTAGGATATAATTCCCTTTAACGTTTTTTAGGGCTTTTGAAGGAACCGATGCTTCCCTGGGACGGGGAGCTCAGTGGCTCAGGTGTTAATTGTGGCCCAATTACCGCCCCGCTTGGGGCTGCGGGCAGTGCCTGCCAAAGCGGCTGTTACAGCCCGTTATGGAACCGAACATGCCTCTCAAAAAAAAATGGCACCGGTTGCCGATAAACCGGGGCTTGTTTCGTTTTTATTTCCATAGAATACTTCCCTGTACCTGTGCTGTTCCCGGCCCGGGACCTGCCCCCCTTCTGCTGTGGGCTCCAGCTGGGTTTTGCCCGGACCCGCAGCCTCCGGGTCACAGCAGCAGCGCAAGAAGAAGCCCCCGCAGCGCTGGGTGTCCTGTCACAGCTCTGTGCGGGGCTGGGGGCTCCCTGAGGATTTGTTTTACACCCCAAACCCCTATTTTCTCTCGCTTGCTCCCAGCTGGCCTTCGGGAGAAGCGGCTGCTGGCTGCCACCCCTCAGCCCGAGCGGGAGC